TCAGCCCTGCCGCCTGCCCGTTTCTCCACGGTGCTGGCAAAGCCTGAGCCAGACTCCCCTGGACTGGACTCACTCTCCGACTTGGGTCTTGTGACTGATGAATCGGGGAGTGCGAGCTGGCGCTCCTGTCCTGCGTGTGGGAAGAAGGCATGAAGCTTTAGCGGAGACCCAGCCCGCTGCAACCTTGGCGTTGTTAGTGTCACTGAGGTTACGTTAGGCTCTGGGCTCCTATGAGCTTTCTGTAGTGGAGGAGGAAACCTAGCAAGGAAAACCATTCTTCAGCAGCTCTTTATTTGCGTGCATCTTTGGTGACTGGCAAGGCTGGGAAGGTAAAAGGTCTCTAGGAATCAATGTACAACTGAATCTGTACATTGTCACTTAAGTGATGGTGAAAGCTATGGCATGTGTTCCAAATTCCTAATGGTGTGTGTAAGGATTCAAACTGTTGGAATATTTTACCTTTCTTCTGACAAGAATTGTCTCTGTCTCCGTAGCTTGGATGTGGACTCCTTTTGTAATGAAGGACCGTAAGAATGGGAGGATAAAATAAGGAAAGACTAGACAAAAGGAGAGTGGATAAATTCAAGGTTCAGTACACACTGATACAGCCAACATTCTGGGAAGAAGAAAACCGCTTCCCAAGATTAGTACATTTCTGAACTAATAAACTATGTATCAGGGAAATGTTAAATTCTTAGTACCAAGGGACAAAGTATAAACACACACATAGGAGTGAGGCCTGAGAGCTAATATTGATGATGTTCATAACTCACTGTTAACCTGGACAGGTCAGGTAAACTGCATGTCTCAGTTTCTTTGTGAAATATTTTATTGGATGGTTTCAAAGTTCTTTTCAATTCTAACAATCCATGATTCTGCCTGACAAGCTCCATTTAAACCTCGAGGCAGTGAGAGATGTCTTGGATAAGTCTGATAGTTCTGAAAAGGTCATACTTGGCAAAGACATTGACAAATCTGGCCATTTCTCTTTTCTACAGAGGCTCTGCCTGCCGTGCTGAAAATCTCTTCTTAACTATCTTCATCTTCCCCATACCAACTCATCCTGACGTTTTGTTAAGAAGGCAGTTTTTTTTTGGGGGGGGGGGAGAGGTACCAGATTATCTGCATTTGATTCTTAGTTTTTGTTTTTGATTTTTTCCATAGTATTAGCTGACAACTAATGAAAAACAAAGCCAGGTGTTTTAGTCTTCTAATCTATAAACTAGGTCTAGTAGCAAGAGCTACCCTATAGTGTTTTAGAGGAATATATGAGTAAATAAATATGTGAAATGCCTGACAGATAAAATTGCAACTGCTATTTTTACCATTACTGAGAGATTGAATGCTGAATGCTGTGTAGACCAGTGTCGTTGAACAGAACTTTCTATACTGAGGAACATGTTCATATCTGTACTTTCCAGGTTGGTAGTTATTAGACCCATATGCCTATTGAGCATTTGCAATGTGGTCAGTGTGAATTGGGAATTTTTATTTTTATTTAATTAATTATAAATTTTAAAGGCACAAATTTAGTGTTCACCATATTAGACACTGCATTTAGGCTACTTGTAATCGGCCATTCAAGAATGACACCTCCAGAAGGGGTTATGATTGAATCTATATTTTTCTTTATAATTTTCCCCAAATACTAAGAAACACTCACACATACTCTCTTAACGGCAGGAAAAAAATTGCTTATTCACAACAGTTTCTTTACCAATCTTTTTAAAACAGAACGTAGCACTTTTAAGGCATCATTTAATTTGTTCATCATTTAATTCTCAGGTCCTGACACATAAGCAGTATATAGTTGGTTCTCAATCAATATGCTGATTGCCAAAAGGATTCAATCCTCAAAGTCTAGTTAACAAAGGAGAGCTAAATAGTCATATAATCCTTTTGGGGGCATTGACATATTCCAAGGACAGAGACTGCATGATTTTTTTTCTTTGAAAGAAAAAAGAAAGGACTAGAAAAGGAAAAGTATGTCAGCACTGAAATTCTGCCTGAAAGAGGGCAGTAGAACGGTATGAGAAACGATTTTTTGCAGTGAGATGGAAAAGAGAGGGGCACTTGAACACACAAGAACAAGGGCAGGAGGAGAACTGCAAACAGATCAGCTGTCCCAAGTTGGTGAAATTTCTATAATCCTTGGCTGCAGATAGAGTTTGTTTTGTGTAGCAACATCTTGCTCAGGTTTTTTCCCCAAGTTACTGCAGTACTGCATAGATTTCTGAGAAGAGGATGTGACTGAGTTTACTTAGATCCGAACTCATGTCACAGCTTAGAGGATATCCTCTGACCAACTGAACTCATATAGCATCTACCTCTTTACCCTAAAAGACACTCGTCTGCTTTGATCTTGCCTAGAGTACTTCTTTTTATATAAGCACATGTATGTGCATAGATACATACATACATATCCACATACATACATATACATGTAGTTATGTAAGGCCATGTAGAGACATGTGTACATATATATGTAGGCACATTATGTGTATGTATCTTCTCCTCAGAATATATTTTTCCTAAGAGAACACTTTTATTTCGTATTTTCACTGTTTTATCCCAGAACATTGGCAATATTGTATTAGATAGTAGTTTATCATTAAATTTTTAGTAATATTGATGGAAAAAGGAGAACCAATGGATCTTAAAATGAGCTAAGTCCTTGATTAAAACTTCTCCTCCCATCTCCCCTCCCCCCACCCCTGCAATTGATGGGAGAATTGGGAAAAAGATTTTTTTAGTTGTTGCGTAAGTTTAGGCAAATATTCAGCAAACATTAATATAAATATGGCTTTTTGGTTGGAAAACTGCAAGTGTTGAAAGAATGGACATGACATTTATCTCATTTTGAAAAATAAAAAGCTTCATTTAAATCCATGTACAAGGGTTTCCTTTTTCTTGGCTTCAGTGAGTGGAGAATTAACTCTAGGATAATAAATCCCAGTGACAGGTGCTAATGGGAATTAAACATGCAAATCCCTTGTACGTCTCTCCAGAAACCTACACCAAGAAAAGTATGCTATTTAGCATGTAGGTCGCTTAGTTATGTTATTTACTCTACGGTGGAAAACCTTTCAGGATTTAGGCTTAAAAAGACCAAAAATAAGAAAATATTTAAATGATTGAAAAACCTTTTCTTCTATTTCATATTTATCATATTGGTTCCTTGTTTTTGTATTTTTATTGTTTTAGTAACATGACAACAAAGATATTAAATGACAACATAATAGGAGAATTTTAGTGAATGTAAATAATATGACAATGAAAAAATGCCTTTCCTATTTAAAAATTGAGGCTTCATAGACCTCAGGTAAAATTACTTATAGACATCAACTAAGGAGAGCCAGATGGTCCAGATTCAGTTCATTCAATTCTCCTTTTCTGCCTGAGCCCACAAAAGCGAATTTAGACTGCCATAAACCATAAGCTCTAAAGCTTTATGTTTTATGTTAATTGTATTTGACACCAACTTTGGTTGTAAGAAATAAAAACTTAAAGTAGCTTAAACAATAAAGAAAAGAAACAACAATGAATTGTTGTATGTAATCTTAAAATTCATGAATAAAATTTTCTCTATTAAAATGCTAACATAGGGGTTGTCTCAGCACTATCAAACTATCAGCAGCCTTTGGAGCAAGAGTGAGTTTTACCCCTGGTCATGGAGCTGACCCACAGGCCATACCAGATCTCTCCTGTATTGCCCATTGTTTCCCTCAGCAGAGTTCAGTCCAGTCATCCTCCTATTCTGCTCCCCACTCTGTCTCTGATGAATCTTCTCACCAAGGCCTGGCCTACATCTCAGCCCTTCTACACATAAATAAATAAAAATAGATCTTACAAAAAGATGATAACACATGTCTGGTCACATCCTGTGTGGCAGGAAAGTGATTTATAGGTGTTATTTTCATTTAATCCTCACTGTAAATATTAAATAAAAGTACTATTATTTCTCCCATTTTATGCAGAAGTAAACAGAGTGTTAAGTAACTTTGGTGATCATGCACCATTAACATTTACCAGCACCAGTCTGCTATTGGTATCATTTTCTAGATATTAAGACTTAAGTACCATCTCTCATGGGACTTGGAACTTCCCCAGTTCCCTCTACTCTCTTGGGTCTGCTGTCCCCTGATTTGACTTCACAGACCTGTGATAGCATCACAGCTGCAGACTGGCTTTTTTTATTCATTATTTATCTCAGAGGAAAGCACAATTATTTCCAAATAGGTAACAAAATTTCAGAAC